TTGGATATAATGTTATATATTTCATTTGACGATGGTTGTATATTTTGTTTGTAGAATTAAATAATAGTATATGATAAATTTTAAATCTATATAATTTTTTATAATTTTAAGCTAAAAATGAGAATGTAAAATTTTTCCGCCAAAAACGTAAATCCGTAATTTTCCCGCCAAAAACGTAAATCCGTGATTTTCCCACCAAATAATGGTGACGTTGATTATTATTATTATTATTATTATTATTATTATTATTATTATTATTATTATATTTTAATTATTAATTTATTTATTACATTAATAGGTTAATGAGTCAACCCATTTAACCTTCTAACCCATCAAATTAAATGAGTTGATGGGTTGAGTCAACTCATTTGGCTAAATGAGTTGAGTCAACCCATGAACTCATTTAACTCTAAACTCATTGGGTAATGAGTTGAGTTGAGTTGGGTTAACCATTTTGACACCCCTATCTATATTCTATATCATATTGGGTTATTTTATTGTAAGAATTAAATGTTGTTTATTCTTAACTTGGTTGAAAAACATGACTTGGTAATAAAGAAGGAGGGAATATTGTATTGTATATCAAATATATTTAGCTGCATTAGATTTGTATTTTTGTTTATATGAGATTAACAATTTATTTGGTTCAATTAGGTATTCATAATTGCATTGTGTCATTGAGAACAAAAAAAAAATAGTTGTATTGGGTCTAAGTTTTTACGTGGGCTAAATCTGATTTTGTTTGGCCCAGTATCATGTTGTTTAAAAAAAAGAAAAAGAATATTTGATAAGAATTTTATCTCTTCTTCCTTGATTACGGATTTTTTTATCCAGATAATGTGAAGCAATGAGTTGCTAAATCTACGATTTAACAACGTCAAGACGCAAGAGAAAACGCAAATATCAATTAAAAGGAATTTTTGTTAGCAAGTCTTTCAAATATATTTTTGTTAGCAAGTTTTAATATATCTATACTAGTATTTTTGCAACACTTTAGTGACGGGTGGGTAAAAATGCTTCTGGATTAATCGGATATCCGACCCGTTTTCTAAATTCCTTCACAAAAAAATACTTGGATCGGGTTAAATAAAATCTAACTCATACACCGGATATTCTATATTTAATAATTTAGATATTTAGAAGATTTGATTAAGATTTAGAATTATGATTCTCCTATCATCTTTCTTTGATTTGTTTTTAACTGTTTTGAATCATCATATAATACATAAGTAAAAAAAAAAATCTATTTTTTTTTCTGCATATACTGTGATTCGAAATTTTAAAAACGGACATATATTATCCAATTGACGAAAATGTGTGTTCAACGTTCTACATCGATTAATATATTTAGACAATGATTCAGAATCATATCATAAATAAGATCAACACTAATAAAATAAATGAGTTTTTTGGCGGGACGGGTTTGGCGGAACGGGTTTTTGAATCAACAAAAATAAAAAGATTAAAATATCATTAATCCGCCGTTTCAATACGGATTAAATCCTTAATTTTTTTTAATACCACCAATATTAGACATATTAAATCAGTCTCATTTAGAAAAGATTGTATAAAACCAAAAATTGTCCCGTGGTATAATGTTACTTAATAAAGATATTTATAAAATTTTAAAATATCATTAACATGCCGCTTTAATACATATTAAATTTTCAGTTTATTAAAATATAAATGTCTTAGAGAATGATATGATTTGTAAACTTTTATATATAATAAATAATCCTTAAATTTTAAAATAAAAACAAATCACGAGACGGGTTAAGAAATTACGGAACGAGTTATATTTCGGAAAGGATTTAGATGGCGGACGAATTTGAATCAATATTTATATACCGCTTTAATACGGGTTAAATCCTCAATTTATTAATAATTGTCTCGTGGACTCGTGGTATTCCGTTACTTAATAACAATTGTAAACTATAATATAAATAAATATGTTATAACGAGATACAATTTATAGAATATTTTTATACTAACTTTAAAATTAAATCATCCCGCGGTGTACCGCGGGTTAAAATCTAGTTTGAAAGTAAAAATCTAAGCTTACAAATATTATCATTTTTTCGTTGTAATTTTATAGTTTTCAATCTTGAAATCTGGTTAAACCATATATCAAAGTAGCAGCAATGGAAAATTCATATATCCTAATCAAATGTGAATTTTGCTTTTTCATTATCAAATATAATATGCACCTGCATAATGTAGAAAAAAAATTATATTAGAAAAGGATATTAACATCAATGTATATGAAATTATATATAATCTGATAATAAGAAAGTTAAACTGAAACAAATAAATTTGATTGAGCAAAATTAGAAAGAAAAAAAAAATCATATAAAACTGGGAACAAAAAAAATGGATGTCTTGTTCAGAGAAATGGATGATCTTATATAATGAAGAGGAGATGTCGATTTAGGGTTAAGAAATTGAAATCTTCTAGTAGAATATTCTTTTAGCTTGCAGAGCAATCTTAATAAATTGAATGATAATCTTTTGATTAAATCTTTTAATATTTACATATTCAAACTAAAATAATTAACTAAAGATAGAATATTTTTTTATAACAAAAAGCCTTATTTAAGGAAATAAAAAGATTTGAATATGATCTTGACTTATAGAATATTCAGCATTAAATATATTTAGAAATTTTGTATTTATTATGAAAATCTTGGAAATTTCTTTTACATATGTAGAAAATAAATGGAAAAATAGATTATGTAGCATTTATTTTTTAAAATTTTAATAGATACTAAAAATAACAAACAAAAATATAGTTACCAAACTCGGATTAGTTAGCAATTTAGTTTTTAAATTTTAGATGTACACCACAAAATTCGTAAAATTTTTATTAAATAAATTTTAATAGCACGAATTTATATCTAAATCTAAACAAATTATAACTACCAACAATATTTTCAAATGATTTTATGGAAACTGAATAACAGAAAATATTTGATGCGTGATTAAGGTAAATAAAAATGATTCTATTTATATTTTTTGATTAGTAAATACTTTTATCATACGTGAATAACAACATTTTCTTTATAAATTTTATTTATAACAATTATAAAATCTAAACAAAATCTCTTTAATATCTTTAAACCCGTTGACCCGTTAATATATATTGGTTACATGGAATTAAAATGATTATGATTAGAGATCTCTAATGGCATATATTGTAATTTCTTACAAAATCAACGTTACGACTTATAGGATGTACTTCCCAAATAATAGTATAGGATTATCATAATCATTATATCCACCATTTCATATTTATTTGATCATATTATTTAATTAAATTGAATCATCATTTCATACATGTATTAAAATATGTTATAATTTGAATTTTAAAAACCAAACATATATTACTACTTGCCAAGAGAGATGTGGAATACAAAATGATAATTATGGGATCTTTATCAGTTATTTGATCCAGCTACAATTGTTTTTTTTATGGATTCTATGGACCATTTGGAAAGATAGAAATCCCAACCAAAATTCCTAGACATCTTATATCACACCATAATATAAACACTTTCTTGAGAGTAAGGTCAATTGAGAAAACTGAGGTGAAAGACTCCCAAAAGAAATGTTCACAGTATGATAGTTCGTGGAAGTGTCTAGACCTAACACTGGTCCATGTTGGATAGCACATATAATACTAGCTAGGGACAAAATGTCATCCGATGATTCCTTCGCGTTTTCACTTGGAAATGAAACTTTTATATTATATGATAGAATGTCTTTTCCAAAATAATGATAGAATGTCAAATTTTTGAAACAAATTGTACATAATTAGTCTCTATAATGCATTCTTCTTATGAAGAACTAACTTTTACTTCTAGTACTTCTATATTATACATCAATGTTAGAAAACTTTTACAATAATTATTTTATTGAAATCAAATATATGCATTACTCAAAACGCAAATACGAACCTAGGGAAAAATGGTCTATTTCCCTACGAGAAATATCGCATCATAACAGATAGAGCCCAAACTTTAACCTCGGTTTATATGTCTCTGGAACCATAGTTTGAAACCTAAATCTCCCTAAATCCATAGTTTTCACCTAATTACCTATAAACATTGGTTTTGCTCGGTTTAGTGTTTACCAAACAAAGATGAACCAACTAAAAACGAAATTAAACCAATTTCAATCCAATAACAACTAATTGAACATGACCCGACCAAACCCACCCAACCCAACTTTCTTCTTCACCCGATTTGTCTTCTTCATCTTCTTCCCTCTTCTGTTTTTTTTTTCTTTCTTTTTGAATTCATTATTTTCAAGGGTCTTTTGCAAAAGTAGCCATTTTGGGAAAAGTAATTAAATTTATAGCACCATAATGTGAGAAATGAAGTAAGTAACACAATTGGTAGCTGAAAAGTCTAGTTTGCCCTTCTCAATTGTTGTAGCGGACGCGCGTGAAACCAATGTAGAAGTCTAGTAACAGTTTTAATAGCACCTCAACTCAAAAATAATAATAAAAGAAAGGGAAAAGCTGAAGAATGAATAAAATTGGCATATATGCATCGTCTGTATCGTAAATTGGGACGTTGTGTACTTGTGTGGCTTCGCTTGCGTCAACAAAAGGCATCTCAGAGTAGCGGTAAAAGAGAAGATTAGGGTTATGGTGGGTTAGGTTTTGGTGATCGAATTAATGGTTAAAAGAGCTCCTTTGATCGTTTTGAGTAAAACGTTTTTTCTACGTAGAACACATAAAATGAAATAGTATAGAACAAAAAACACTCTACATTGTATTTCTATATCAAATTATTAAAAATCTTTCAATCATACTAAAACACACCTATTTTTTTGCTATTTCATATGGTTTATACCAACAAAAATAAAATAGAATGATTTGTGTTTTATATAATACAACAAAATCTAAGATAATAAGCCAAACAAACCGTACAAAATACAAAAGTAATGTTTGTATGGACTATACTATATATATTGTACTATTTGTTTTCATTAAGTACCAATTACATTGTTAATATGTTTCTTGTTGGCGACAACACAAATTTCTAGCGAGCTTAGAGGATGTAAAGGCATTAGAAGTACATAGAAGTGAGAGGATCTGTCCCAAGCCAAGTCCAATCAAAGTCTTCTTCGTCTTATTTATCTAATTGAAATTGAAACCCATTATCATTGCAGAAGATGTTGAGATTCGAACTTGGCAATGCTATAAAATAGCAACTGCGTGAAAGTCACGCGCCCCTCTTTTCTCTCTCAAATCAAAGGAGACTTGCAGAAACCTAGATCTGTTCTCGTTTGCCTCTCCGGTCACCGGCGCTCCTCGTCGGTACCGTGAGAGGGCTCCGTTGTCTTCGCTGTTCGGCTCATTCCATCTCCGGCAATTTTCTGTAAGTACTTCCAATGGATCTGAGCTGTTTTTCTTCAGGTTGGAGGCTATATTTGAGGCCAAATCGGCGGTGGTTTGCTGCGGCTCTCCTCCTTACAACAGCGACTCCATCTTCTCAGTTGTCTTCCTCATTCCCCTGATTGCTTGAGGACGGTGATTATGTCTGAGTGAAAACTCTCCTTGATGGTCTTGCTCACGTTGGGTGTGCTGCTCGGTTTGGTTCGTGGCGGTTAGATCCTCTCTGGCTTGTTCGGAGATCGATCTCCTCTGATGGTGGCTGGTGGATTTCAGAGATTTGCCGGCGTTGGTGAACATGTGTTCGCCTCTTCTCCGACTTCGTTTTTGGCTCCTTCCGCTTGGATGTGCTTTTCCGGTGATGGTTCTTACTTCTATGTCTCAGTGTTGTTTTCCCATCGCTCGACGCGGCATTGCTCCGGTGGTCTGATGGTCAACCACGTTGGCTGGTGGTGCGGCTGGCGGTGCCTTGTTTTCCGGCGAAGCTGCGACGTCTCCGTTGTGGCGGGTCCGATGTGGCTCGGACGGGTTCTTTGTTCTGAGACCAATGGCGAGAGCCCCTTGCTTTTCCAGCGAAGCTGCGGTGGTAATAGTTGTGGCGGGACTGATGTGGCTCGGAGTTACTTTGCTCATAGGCTGAAGCGAAGCTGGTTCTCTATCGACCTTGGCTCTAGTGTTGCAGCTCGAGTTTTCTTTGCTGTCGGGGTTCTACATTTTGGAAGTTTGTATCTCCGAGGTGGTGGCACTTGTTAGTGTAAATTCTTTCAATATGGCTTGTCTATGCAGGTGAAAGATGATCTTTGCGCTCGGAAAAGCTGTAGGCCCGCATCGTCAGAGGATTTGAGGACGTTTCTCGGGTGCGGAGGACTCGTGGCAAAACCGATTGAATTGGGAATCTTCCTCCTCCAACGAATGCTATTTCCATTGTTCTTCCCTTGTTTTATAGTGTTCTTTTGTAATGTTGTTTGTTTGTAGATTTTGGTTTTCTGCTTTCTTTGTTGAGTCTTCGTGTTATGTAAAAATTCAAAAATTGGTATAATAAATCTTCACCTGTTTACCAAAAAAAGATGTTGAGATTCTCATTGCTTTAGTTGACGTGGGAAAACAGAAAATGAACAAAAAACAATTATGTGGATCTGAATTTGATTACATCGATTTCGATTTCCCAAAGGAAAAAAAAAAAAAAAAAACCAAAACCTAGAACCTAAAATGAATCTCACCGAAAAGCAATTAAGGGACTGAAACCGGAAAACAAAAACAAGCAAAGAGGTCGGCGCCAAGCCTAAAAAATCTCGTCGGGACTTCACTCGGTGGGGAGAGAAAAGATGTGGTGTTACGCAAAAGAGAGAAGAAAGAAACTAAGAAAGCGTGCAACTCAGTCACAGAGGGCAAACTTGGAATTAATATACAAAATATAGAGAATATTACCCTTCTTTTTTTTTGGTGTTACTTTCTCAATTATAGATTTTTTTTGCGTTAGTTTTGCAAATTTCCCTATTTTCAATCTCTTGAGTTTTGATGTGACTTGAAGAGTATAAATCTAATAACCTCTGAAACTAGCTTATATTTTTCATGATTTTTCAAATCAAATCCTCAAAGAACGAATCAATTACATATTGAAATCAAAATTCCCAAATTTAAATCTATACCTCTTTCCATATATCAAATTGAGAGAGCATCTGTTTCATTACCCATTCTGAAATCAAATGAACCAAATTAGGCGGAAATTAAACACATATAATTGATGAATTTATGCTCCTGTCTTATTCTTAGATCACGTTTTGCTTTCCGATCTCTCAAATTCGCCGTTGCGTCTTTTACGTATCTTCTCTGCTCCTCCGCTCCTCCGAGAGGCCAGATTCCACGACGTTTCATCATCATCTCATCAATCTCAGAGATCTTCATTGCGAAGAAGAGAGACTAATTGAAGCTTATCAATATTTTCAGGTGAAGAAGAAGAAGTTGGATCGGATCGTTAATGGGTAGGCCGGGTTGGGTTAATTTTTGATAATTTTAGTTTAGTTTTGGTTAAAATTTGTTTTAAAGTGGTTAAAACTGAATTGATATACGTTAAACTGATGAAACCCAGACATGAGGGTTAATATATCTCGAAATATTAATTCGGGGAGATTTAGCAATTGAATTTACGTTTCAGGGAGAAATCTTTTACTAATAAAAGATGCTAATTGAGGCTTCTTAAGCCATCCACATCAGCTATTTTTATGATACTCTCTCTATTTGCCACGTCAGCGTCAGGAAAAAAAAAATTGCCCATGACAAAGTCTTATGTCTTTCCAATAAGAAAAGAAGTCCAACATACAAAAAATCCATTCGCTCAGTACCCAATAATTAGCCCATCTCAAAATCTAAACAGTTCAAAGTTTAAAAAAAAAAAAACCTTTGTCGTCGTCACCATCAAGCCGTCGACTCCATTCTCACAAACTGTATCGATTCAGTTTCCCATTGCCACCGTAATCAATTCCCCACTATCTCACCTTCACTCCCCCATTTATTCACATAAATCGAAACTAATGTCCACTACCTTCAAAATCATAGCCTCTTGCGAGAATCTCCTATAAAACGTCAGCTCTCCGATCAAACAGATATAAGCAAAAAACTTCAATCAAAACATGGCACCAAATAAAGCAAAACAGTCTCCCCAACCATTCACCTTTAAGATTTTCGATGAGATTGATGGAGATTAATGTGATGAAGAAGTTTTAGTCCGACCTCTCCATCTCGCTATCTTCTTCTTCATATCCAAATCGGTAGCAACGCAGATGTTAACTGGTGAATCTATTACTCTGTGCCATGTCAATAAAGAATTTCGCCCAGATTTCAATTTAGGATCGGAGGTCAGTAAATCAACACTCCCTAATTTTATTGTCTGCGACAATTTTTTTTCTTTCTTTTTTCATGTTCTACCAATTATTTTCCCTGCGTTTGACGTTTTGTTATTTTCGTTATACCACCTTAGCCACATTTGACTATTCTATCTTTTAACCTCCTCGCATAGTATATGCGTATTATGACAAAGAAAAGCTCAAGAGAAAAACTATCAAGGTATGTCTTTGTAGGAGTTCATTTCTATATTCTTTAAGCTATTAATCAATATGGTCATTGTTTGGAAAATTAACCTGCATTAGAAACTTAATTTGAAATCTAAAATAAATAAAAAAATTTGGTCATGCATGTGAAGATACTAATGATTTTCCTTTCTCTCCTACGTCTCAGGTGCATATCTTAATATGTAGACATGATGCATTGAATAATCTGCATTCTTAGTTCTTCACCCAACTGAATCAGACCTCATGATCAAGATCCCAGTAACTATAAAGCTTTTAAAAGTTTTACGAAGAATCTTTTTCATTATTGTATATTCATTGTCCATCCTATGATTCCTATTGTATGATCTAAGCAGATATAAGCAGATGATTAAAAATAAAGTTGTAGAGCATATGCAAAGTGTGACTTAGAAAAATACATTGAAATAAAGATATTGTTTGCATGATAGGGAAAAAGAGGAATAATATCGACTGGAGGAGTATGTGCAGTAAGAAGGAATGGCAATTGTTTTGTAAGGTAGATTTAACATTTTCACAGAATAAATAAGGATCAGGTTGTTGTTTGACCTTTTTCTCACAAATCTAACATACTCCAACTAATTCCATAAAACTTGAGAACATATAGGTTTCTCCCTCTAAACTATTGGCCCAAGTCAATTCCGGATAGTGCATGCTAATGTAGCAAATGAAATTGAGAAGAGTACGTCTTTTAACAATTGCATCAACACATTGCATTTGCTTGCCTCGCTTTGAAACTAAAAGATGGTGTTATCCTTTTTGTGGCAAAAAAAGAAGTCTTTTACAATCATGAAACGTTCAATGGCAAGACTACTTCTATTTTTAGCCCACAAGTTGATTATTAATATCACAAAAACAAAAAGTATCAATTGTTAAATATTTATATCCGGGCGTAGCCCGGATTATCTTCTAGTAGATATAAAACATTGTTTTCAAGGACATATAATCTGAAGTTAAAATTTGGGCTATATTTGTTATGATGCGATACTTTTCGTGGGAAAATATACCGTTTTTCCACGAATCTAGTATACCAATTATGTGAGCTGCTAGTATTTTTACATAATTCGACTAACGTACTTGGTTCTAAGTTTATATCCTACAATCTTATAGACGAAGCTGAAAGATTCATAATTTATTCGATAAATTTTATTGGTCAAGGCCAACCACCAAGTTGTACATTTATATATTTATATAATTTATTAAATATTAAAAGAAAACTGATAAAGATCTTTTAATATATGCTCAAAAAAAGTTTATTTTAATACTATAATTTTTTTTCTTCTGACAACATTTTAATTCTATAATTTAAACACAGCTTTTCATAATTAAATCCACAAGCATCGAGGTCTATTATTGATTTATTTTATGTAGTACTTTGTTTTTTTTTTTTTGGGCAAAATAGTACTTTGTTATGGTAGTATCAAATTTCACAGAAACATTATAAGTACTAATTTTTTGTCACAACATTATACTATATTTAGCGATATATTTCTCAACATCTATTATTCAAAATTTCACAGGCAATATTTCAGAGAAGATCCCTTATATATTAATTGAGAAGCATTATTAAAAAATAACCTTACTTTTACGTGTGATTAACGAAAATGCCATGCTGACGTGTCGCGGTTACAGAGCTCCTTAAGTCATTTAATTAATTTTCCATCCTATACTAGAATATTTACATCAATTTGCCATTGGTACTAATAACACTTATTTTACTCATTCATTAATCAAAAATTAAAATTATGAAATGCACTTAACGTGGGCACTTAACATGTTCTTATTTCAACCAATTAATTAAAACGAAATTATATTTAATATTTGCAATTAAGAGTTACTAATCTTTAGAAGATGAAGCACCTAACATTTTTTGTATTGATTAACTTTACAACTATACATGTTTATATCATATATACACGTTGCATTTAAAAGGATGAATCAATTTAAAAAGATTAAAATCCACAAAATATCTAAAATATGGAATCTAACAATATTTGATAATTGATTGGTAATTCAAATTCTTCCACCGATTATGGTACTTGCTAACTATAAGTTAATAACCGAATTTATAATTACCTCAAAACTTTCATATATGGACTTATATAATTTTACCATGCACCTAACAAAAGAATATTGAGATATATTAGTTGACTTATTCAAAAAAAAAATCCTGACAAAAGATATATAAATATTAAAAAATTATGATTTAGAAAATATAAATATAAAATAATAAATTTTGGACATACTTTAAATGAAATATTTATTTTAAAACTTTAAGGATGTAGAAAATGTAAGAATGATATTGTGAAATTAATGGAACCCATGTTACTCGCTCGATCTTTTAGTTTTATTTAGTTGATCAATATTAAGGCTTTTTTTTCAAGAGTCTACATGTAATCATATAATGAGGCATTTTAGTTTTGATGTTTTGTGAATGTAGTCAAAACATAAATATATTTAATTATTAAAAACACAAAAAGATATATGTGCCATGAATGATAATATTTCATCAATACTTTCTCCACATAGAAGTTTTTTACCACGTTCAAATATTTTACGGGTGAAAACAAATTCTTATACAAAATATTTGCAAATTTGAATAGAACAAAAAACTTTACTATATGTTTCGTTTTATACAAACGTATCTTGGATCTCATTAATAATTTTACCTATTATAATTTTACTTGAATCGTTTCATCCCGCACATAGTGCGGATTTTTATCTAGTATAGCTTATATTTTCTAGTTCTATTCATAAAATATATAATAGAGATATGCATCACGAATATTACATCTCATCTATTGGATCAAATATAATATTACCAAAAATTAGTGGACTAATCGATAAGAGACATGGAGAATTCTAAACATGTAATATTCTGATTAGGTATTTTGTCTTCTATTTCCGGCAAGCGACTTAAAAAAGATAAAAATCCTTAGAATTATATAAATATATAGTATTAGAAACCTAGACG